CCCAACCTAGGCCTGTTTCCCTCAAGAACTGCCTGTTGGTTATGATGCGAATAATAATTTCGTTATAGTCATAACTCATAAATCATAACAAGAACAACAATTTGTTTGTTAAAGCCTTAAAGGCTCTGTCAAACAGAAAGCGTTATTTTCACGTCGCGTGGTTTTGTAATTTGTTATAACTCTGCAGTCCGCTTTATTCACGCGCGTGAAAGCACCACGCAGAAGAGCCATTTGCCGCTTCAACAAGCGTATAACGCGTTCTGTTTGACAGAGCCTTTACAAATAATAAACAACGAGACGTAATGTTACTCTCTGGTACCTACCTAGAATAATATTATAATCTTAAATATTTATCGTGATAAATTTACAAACACATATTTCAGCTACCTATTTCATCCACTTGATTTTAAACGGTTTCGATAAGTATAAGGCAAAACTACCTGTTTGATTTATACATATACTTTTTTAAAACTACATAATAAATCATATAGATATATATAGATTTATATATATATATATATATATATGTATATTATATAATTCATAATAAATAATCCAACTTAGGTATGGCCATATCTCATATTAATCCTTCAAATGTACGGTAGTCCTTGCTCAGGTAGAGTATATTTATTTATTTTTTTTATTTAAGAAAATTTTTATTATTTGATTAACACAAAATGATACAAAGTATTAAATAAATATTAATACAAATTACCTAGGGAGTCACAGTGTACAAATATGATTTAACTAAATTACATAATTAAATATACGATAATAAAAAAAAAGAAATATACAATATTTTCTTGATTCTTATACCTAATACGTTTTGTAATAGGTACCGAATCATAAACATAATCACTGAATTATTTAACCTAATAAAATATAATTTATAAATTTACTGATGTTAGTATTATCAATAAAAATATTTATTTTCACATCTATTGGAAAAGAGTTAAAATTAACAGGATAGTTAATGAACTTTTGTCCAAAACTCGTTTTTATGTAGGTACTATATCACTTTAACATTAAATAATCAGGCCAGGGGAGGGGGGAGGTCATCTGACCCACAGTATTTTTTCTCAGTTAAATGTGGCTCCTCGAAAAGGCAAACTACATTAACATTTTTTTATTTGAAAAAATTATGTACAGTGGAGGATTCGGGGGAGGGGCACTTGTCCCCTGTCAATTATATGCGCCCCCTCCATCAAAATATCGAAGATCTGCAGCTGATTATGTACAATGAACAATAATAAAATAATATTAAATACTTATAGTAATTTATAAAATGTACACAGGCTCAAGAATGTTTCTATACAATTAAAAATATAATTATATGATTGTTTAGGTATATTATAACGTAGATTTATATGTAGCCGTGAAGACTGAGTATTGAAGTAAAATAGCGCGTACGAAATCGTGCTTATAAACGTATCAACTTATAAAACGTAGCTAAATTCGAAAAACACGAGAGTAAAAATATGTCAGATACATTATATAAGATAAAAGATTTTATGAAGTTGACATAAATTAAATTGATATATAATCGGAATACCGTTCATTATGTCTAGTTTGCCAACAAGTGTATGACAATACTATTGAAACTGAAGTAACTGGACCCTTAAAATTTAATGAAGTATTGATAAGTTAATAATATCACGGAGACGTGACATGGTATCATCGTATAAAAATGAATATACTTTGTATAAAATATTTTATACACTTCCAGTCAGCAGTGAAACTGCAGAAAGAAGTTTTGGTCGTCTAAAATTTCTTAAAACTAAAGCATTTTAGATTACCTATACAGGATTATTTTTTTATCGTGAAACTGGTTCACGATAAAAAAAATCACCCTACATAACTATTTAAGTATATAAAAAGGTATAGTTATAAGAAAAAATTATTTAGCTCTTGTAAATTAGGTATTTCAGTCAAAAGTATTGATGCATATTATACAAAAATTTAGAGGACCCTAGTTAATAACTTAGATAACCAAAATTGATCTTTTGACTGTCAAAATGTTCAGAAAAAAAGCTTTACCCAGAATCCATCCAAAAACATAGTGGTTACCATTTGAAAAAATAAAGTCGATCTTATAATTGGTACAAATGTTGAAAATGTTATAAAAAAAATTTTCTGTTAAAAATAAAGAAACACATATTTTTTTGTTTTAACGAAATTCCATATCATCGATCCATAATTGTTGAAAAAAAAGTATAAACCCGCTTACAGTGACATACGAATATAAGATACATCCAGTATATTTTTTGTATAGTAAATAATTATACAATAATATAAAAAAATGATACAATTATTTTGAAGTTAAAGTTGAAAAGGGGCCTACTATGTGTATGATGTCCCGGGGCCTAATTAATCCGGGCTTGCTCAAAACATGCCTTCGCTCAACCATGACTGAAGATCGGCTATCAAATTTGGCCATACTGAGCATAGAAAGCAACATAGATTGATTTTGATTTTGACATTTTCACTAATGAAAAAGCTCAAAAAATGTATTGTAATGTTCTAGTTCTCTACTAATATTTTCATGTAGGTATTATAAAATATAAATTTATAAATGTATTGTTTTTGACTTAATTTGTATTGTATTAGAACTTAGAACCACTTTCTACATCTCTTGTGAAAATGAAACCAGTCAATTAAAACTAAAATAAAATAAATATACTGCAAATATACATGAAAAAATAAAATAATAAATATGTATAATCCTTTCTTGAAATAATTTAAATGTTTCAGGTAATTTTTTTAATTGATTATACATTTTAATGCAACAAATAATAATAACAATTAATTAAATATAGCTTCAATACTAAAGCCTATCAAAATGTGATGTAAATAACTAAGGCTTACACTGGGCGACATTGTAATACCTAGTTGGTTGAAGTTTCTAGGCCTCTCGTAAGGCAGACCCACAGTTCTAAAATCCTGGGTAAGCCACTGAATCGGACTATAGTTTGCGGCACTATAGCTGCTGTTCGTGCACATGTGTATAAGAACCAAGAGAGTACCTAATAGCAAATTCTACTAATTAATGAAATTACCTACAAGACATTTCAAAAACAGTATGTATTAATTGATTCATAAATATCTCAATAATTGTAGGTATATAAAAATACAGTTTTTAAATTATTAAAAAGTTGGTATATCGTATACCTGGTATTCAATTATCCATGAAAAAGAAACATGTAAGCTTTCTAACAATAAAAATAAATTTAAAGAAACCCGTTATAACTTCAGCTATAGAAAAAATTATCTATTTATCGGAGACAGTATACGTCTCGAGTCCTATAACGACGTGGTCACTCGATGTGTTGCAAGTACCTAACACTCTGAATAAATATTAAAATATGTGTCTACACACCGACTCAAAAGGACTGTTAAAAAAACACTCACTTGACGATTTTTTCAACGTCGTGATTAAACCTCAAGGCCGTAAACGTTGCACCGCCGCGCCGTCGCAGTACAGCCCTGAGATGCGCGGCAACAGTCTGGCGTAAATTACTTTGCCCTCCAGGGCGTCTGCGACGACGATCATCAAGGGTCTTAGGAGGGAGGGGGCCATATTTTTGGCACGACACGAGACACGCTCACAACACATTCGGGCCTTGACAACAACGTCGTCCACCGTCGTCCGACGCATCACGTGGTCCAGTCGGGCTGATGCAGTCCACACCGTCTTCGGGGCGTCTGCGACGAAGACCGTAAAGCGTTGGACCAGGGCGGAGGCCATTCTTTTGGCACGACACAAGACACGATCATAACAAGTTCAGGCCTTGACAACAACGTCTTCGACCGTCGCGGCCGAGAACATGGATCAAGTCTGCTGCGATAACGGATATAATAGCCGTCAAAGACTTATACAACATGTAAGTAAACGGCGTCCTGTGTATAAGTTTAAAGTGGTGTATAGTGCTTATACCGAGCGTATCGACAGCTGCAGCTGGTGCCGTGGTTAATGGGTGGGTGTCGGGTGGTATAATATATTTTGTAAAATTGTCCATAAATATTATTACACCTATAAGTATTATGTAGATTATAGCTATATTTGTCAATGGATTTGATACTCGGAGAAAGCATCCACCTTGTTTGTTTTATAGTTAATACTATACTATACTAATACCACTTGGTATTTTATCATTGTAAAGTGTCGCCGAAATCCAATCATGTTTACCTATGTATGATAGCTTATGCGTATACACACATAATTTTTCTGAGGGGTGTTAAAAATGAAAAATGTGAGGATTTGGAAGGTAACTGGTAACCACTCTGCTGTAAGGTTGAATTCATTCTTAGTAAAAATATTAGCTATTATATTTATTAAATTATATTATTATTAATTGTTATAATTGCATTAATGTTACGTTACCGCCTATTAAATATATATATATTTATATGTTTTGTTATTATCATAATTATATTATTATTAACTTTTGGTCAACACAAATTTTTCGTTGATCGGTCAACTTGGTTGGGTTCGTGTTATACCCAACGTATAAATATCCAATAAACTTAAAATATTATCTTTAAATTAATATATGCAACTGCTCACATCGAATACGTGTGATGTAAAGCATTGAAAACCCTTGGTCTTGTCATCCGATTAATAAAGGATTTTCGGCTTGAATCGTCATTAAAAACACTTTTCTGTGCGCTTGTGTGCCCCATTTTGGAATATGGGACCGTAATATGGGACCCTCATACTGCAGACAACGCAAGACAAATTAAGCGTGTTCAGCGCCGGTTCCTACTCTATGCTAGTCATATCCTTAAGATACCTTGTGCACCTCATAACTATACACCGGTTGCTAATCATCTTGGTATGGCATCTTTAGCCGAACGTCGCCGTGTCGCAGGTCTTAAATTCCAAGGGGGTCTTTTAAACAATACTATAGATTCTCCAGTCCTTCTCTCGAAAATCTCCATTAAAGTTCCATCCCGTCCATCCCGCTCAAAGGCCCTCTCCTATGTCCCACACGCCACCACTAACTGTATGACTAATGTGACTTTAAGACGCCTAATGTCGTCTTATTGTAAAATTTCTATAATGATATAAAATATACATTGTAATGTCAAAAAGGGCTAAGCCAGTATAACAAATAATAAATAAATAAATAAATAAATAAATATTTTGAAAACGTCATTATGTATATTTAAATATAAAAATATTCATGAAAGCTTTAAGAGAAAGTCAGCGCAATATTAATTTTCTATCTCAAGCCCGGTCGGACCTACGCCCCCCCCCCCCATACACGCCACATAAATAAAATGCTTTTACGTTAAATCGTTTTTTATGATTTTAGAGTAATCTTAGAGTAAAATAACCTTAGGATTCTTTTTCCAGTACATCTTGAAGATATGAAATATGTACCACTGCACCTGTTATTTATTTTTCAAATGGATTATATTAATAATATTATATTGACTACAATAAATTAGTACTTATACCATAATAATATAACGGTAACACGGAACCCTGTATAGGCAATTGAGCTACATTACTGTCGAGCGAGTCCATTTTTCCGGTATCTCAAAATTAACTATTATTGGTAAATAGTCAATTTTTTTTAACTATGATAATAATATATCAAATATTAATATAATTTATATTTATAATAACTATAGTATTTTAATGTATTTAAATTATTATAATGATATTGTAAAGTTGCCCTATTCAAACACGGAACAAACAGGAGTTTATCATTATTTCCCCTAAATATCGTACAGTTATTATACTAGGTATTATATCCGTAATCCTTAAATATATGACCATAGTCCATAACACATGTACTTACATGATAATATAGGTACCTATTGTATGGTGAAAGTATAGTTATGATTGCTCTTGTGTCACATGTTCGTTCCAGAATTCTGCCGTGAGATAGAATTTTCTTGTTAATCGTGCTCTACATACCTCTAATCTCTGGGCTTAAAATAAATCTTACGTTTGATGAGATGATGCTCATATACTGTTAGGTATTTTATGATACAGTGTTAACGATTTCAGTAATTCGTATGGTGATGACGTGTAGGTACTGTCAGATATGTAAAATTTCATGTTTTTTACTGACCCTATGAAACTTTTTGCTCTTTTCGACCTGTCATTTGATTTGTATATCTATTCTACGGTTAAAATTGTTTATTATACTTCACCACCTTACCAAACAATATTATAATAGTGATTATTATTAGTGATGTGTTAGCTGTTATTAATTCATTTATTAAAATAAAAATAATACTTCATAATAGTATCCATCACTCTTTGGCAGGTAATGAAATATTTAAAACATTTCAATTCAAACATTTTCAACTACAATTTAAAGATTTATTTTATATCAAAATGCTAAGGTGGGCTAGTTAATGAAAAAACTTAAATCAAGTTAAAAGAACACAAGATCGATAAGTTAGAAATTACCAGTTAACAAATTCCATAAATTCAAAGTTAATATGGAAAAAAATACTAACTTAAAACAGTTTATAAAAGTTATTCTAATCATGACATTTTTAAGATTTGAGATTGGAATTTAGCGATCAATGTTCATACGCCCAAATTTTATTTTGAGAATTGAAATGCATTTTCGCAAGGAATACGATCCAGCACAATTGAAATTGGCACAAGTAATAATGTTGCTCAAACTAGGGAAACCTACTGAAGATATTACATCATACCGACCAATATCACTACTTCTAAGTTTGTCTAAGCTTTTAGAGAAACTTTTGCTTGAACGTCTTAAACCGATCATAGAGGCAAACAATGTTATGCCAGAACATTAGTTTGGATTTCACAACAAACATTCGACACTTGATCAAGCATACCTAGTCACTCATGTGATTAGTAAAGCTTTTGAAGAAAAAAAGTATTTCTGTGGAGTATTCCTTGACCAATCCCACGAGCAGATTCAGCTAAATATCTTGGAATGCATCTTGACTCTCGTCTAAACTGGAAACAATACGTCCGCCAAAAAAGATTTAGGTATAAGAAAATATTCGAAAACTTTATTGATTAGTCGGACCTCACAACGAGTGAGCCGTCGAGAACAAACATCTACTGTATGTAGCTATTATTAAACGGATTTAGAGATTCAACTGTGGGATTGTAATATGTAATATTAATACTATTGAAATATGTTATACACTGCTGTCGAATTATCGCTGCCGCAGCCTACTGGTTCGAAAGAAACATAGCAATTCACCGTGATACTAATATGATTCTGCATACAAAGGACGACGAAATCCAAAGATTTTCTCTCTAACATGAGACGAGTCTGGATCACCATGTCAATCCATTGGCCATCCAATTGTTGCATAACTCCAATGACATCAGACGACATAAGCGTCTGAAACCATATGAGTTAGTTTACGATTTTAGATTAAGGCAGGAGCCACTTCAAGGGAAGTGACTCCGTCAAAGTGTAAAGTATAATATATAATTTATATCTAGTATGTAAAATATATATAATTGTTAAAAACATTTATAAAGACTTTTGGGTCTTTTAAATAATAAAACCCCAGCTAGTCTCAGATAGAGGGCATTTAAAAAAAAAAATCATAAGTTGATAAGAAAATGAACTAACTATTTAGGTAAGCTAAATATTTCAAAAATAATTAACTTTTTAACTAGCCAAGTACACCTTTGCCAAAATGTAACTGTCTATATTAATTTACTATTCTTAGATACCTATTATAACTACTTCTTCTTTTGAACTACCTACAGTTGTTTATAGTGGTGGCTTGTGTGCTTTTAATGAAGTAGTGCACATATGAAACAAATAGAACCAATATATATATATATACTAGCTGATCCCGTGCACTTTGTTTCTCGTTAAATGTACCAACTCTATATGACTCAAACTTTGTTTAATTCGTTATTTAATATTCGGTGTATGGTGTTAAAAATGTATCTTAACTCTTCTGTTGCCTGGGATGAAAATTCTGGTTCGCAGCAGTATATATTATCAGGTAGGCAATCTACCTGCTGTTCATCCAGTATATGTGGGTATAATTTTTTTTTCAAATTGCATATTTTTTAATTTTATAATGCATATTTTAAAGCATATATTTCACCTGTTTCTAGTGCATAAATGCATGCATACTTAAGACTTTTTTAGTGCATGAAATTCACAGCCCTGATAATTACCTATAGTAAAAGCTAGAATACTTCAACCGATTAATTTTAAAACTTTTTAAAATGTTTTTTGCATAACCTTGGCTAATAATATCAATGATTCCAATAGTTTCAAGGCATATTATATTAAATGGTTTTAATAAATTAACTGGGTTGTAGTTACCTACCTATAATCTATAAAATATTATGCCAAATAGATTTTTTAATTATGGAGGTACTGGAGCTAGTCATCAATCAAATTCCATATTTATTTGAAAAATTTATAAAAATATTATTAAATTGGCTGATCAACTGTATTCCAAATCGTAGTACTGTAATACATTTAACAACTTTTATGTTTATAAATGTACAGACGTGAAAGAGGGTAAGTCCACTAGTCTTATACATAGTTAATAATTCATAAAAATTATTATTTAACAACGAATCACATTCAACACAACTAAAAATAGAAAATATTTATACTATTATTGAATCAACTGATCAACTGTATTCCAAATCGTAGCACTTAAATATCTTTTTTTATAACGTATTTATAAATTTACAGTATTCAATCAAAGTAAGTCCAATGATTATATAAATTATTTATAATTTATAATACTAATCATTTATAATAACGATGAACGTATATACATTCACAGCTGTTACGGGTAAGATCATTTACTATTTTTACTTAATTCATTATAAAATACAAGTCAATAACATAATATGTAAATAGTAAAATCTCCTTACAAAGTAAAATAACAACATCCCCGCTTAACCTATAACTCGTTTATTTTAGTCTTCGAATAACGAAAACTCCTATATACCTGACAAATCAGTTGGAACCGAGTGATTATTCCGTTGTAAGAAGGTCTTACGATATTTCATTTTAACGGAAAACCGTTTAATCGACTATTAAAGTATAAATTGATATTATATTTGTCAAGAACCTATCTCTGGCATTAACTAATGGGAACGAGTTATGTACTGAACCATAAGAGATAAGAATAGCAGCTAGTACCTATCAGTCTATGCTACTCAGCTGGGGAATACGTGTGCGCAGTATGGATCAGTCATGTAAAGAAAGTGGAAACAGCATTAAATTGACACGATAATTTTAACGACGGGATAATTAAAACCAACCATTATTGATAAAGCACAGATCTTATAATATTTAATTAGGTATTATTCGGAATTGCGCACCCGAAATAATACGCGAAGTAGCAGCAAACATAGAAAGAGAAAAAAATAAACGACGACAGGCATTTACTCCAACGCGTAGCAGGTGAGAATCAAAGAAATATTTTATGCAAACGACATCAGCATTAAGGGTAAGCCTATGGAAAGCCGGATTGAGGATTGAAACAATGCCGGATTGAAGCATGGAATGAGCGAACAAAAAAGGACAAGCTCACCGGCTGGGGCGTACCTACAGAATCCTTACCATCTGGTCATAACCTACCATGGAACATGTTGTAAACTCTCAACCGTCTGAGGACCTAAGTGAGAAGAACTAATGAAAACTTAAATATATTATGTGGAATGACAGATAATGAGGAGAGAAACAAACAATAAGCCGTTTGTTTTAATGTACATTGTACCTAGAGTAGATGTAGAAGATTTCATTGGTCTGACGGAAAACAAGGACGAAATGTTAAGAATCATTGAACATTGGGAAAAGAAAAGATTGTAAATTAAAAAAAAAAACACTGATTGATACGATGAGAAAAAGATTAACATTATCATCAAAAAATAGCTAAGCACCGGTCCAATGAGTGACATACAGTTGATAACTGACTTATACTTATCTTTGCTGATCCAATTTGCAACCTACAAAGTATTTTTTTTAATATATGAAACGGGGAACTATGATTATTTTTGAGTAGAGATATAGACGTGGTGTATTTGTATTTTGTACATATGCTCAAATACTTTTTTGCTGAGTATTGAAATACGTATTTAAAATCATTTTTTTTAAATAAGTAACTGTAAATTTGTACTTGAATACTTTTAAAAAGTATCTTTTACAAGATTGACAATACTTTGATACTAATTGATAAATATAGGTATTATTTTTTTATTTGTGTTACTGTAAAATGTAAACATAATTTAATTTAGTTTATTTTTAAAAACAAGTAAATATATTTATTTAATTTACAATTTTTTTTTATACTTTTAGATTGTCTACTTTCTATAACCAACTATGTATTTGGTAAATATTTTTTTAACCTAATTAGTAGTCTAATGGTGACGATGTGTTAAATTACAATATAAAAATAAAACAAATATTTCAAATTAATAATATTTAATCATATTAGGTATAGGTACTTAACATTAATGGTTACATAAATGACAGACATGAAAACACAAAAATTCTCATATTAAGCTGAACAAATTATTTTTAGATTTAATTATTTATTAAAAAATAGATAATCATTTCAAATTTCTAGGATCAATAGTTTTTATATTACTTAAATAATCAAATAAGATTTGTTGAAAAACTGTCATAGGTACTGTTTAAATGTTTCTATTGATTTATAATATCTTGAAATTGTTGTGATTATATGACATTAAAGAATAACCTATTTTGTATAAAATGTAAAATTTCAAGCGTAACGTATTAGTTGAATATGTGCTCAACTTTAGTGAGATAAAAATTATATTACTTTATTCAAACTTGATTTTAATATCAGTCTCCATACATGTTTAACGTTAATATTGTTAAAAAATGCATTCATAATAATATATGTGTTTGTAGTATTAACATTAATTTTTTTAAATTATTAATTTATAAACAGTGCATAATCATAAAACGTATAAGTATGATAGTGAGTATATATAATTATTTTACAACAAAAATATATACTCTAGAAATTAGATAACATGGGTACCTACATTTAACTAATTAAGATATAATTCTCCGAGTCATGACACACCAGCAGCCCAAGTTTTGAATTTTTGATACTATGCAACCATATTATAACAAAATCAAAATTGTACCACGATAATTTTGTTTTGTAAATTCTTCCTTGTGTGATCAAAAGATTGTGTTCTATTGCGGTTTGTCGTCCTAGTTCTAAATGCTTTCCTTTTGTAACTTAATTCCTTTAACTCTTTGTAGCCATTCTTTGCCATGTCTATCATGATTTGTTTCAAGTATTCCATCCTTAGTCTTCCTCTTTCAATATAGCTTACCATCAATCTGACTTAACAGAAATCATATTAAATATTGATAAAACTTACTGTCGAGTTATCAGGGTCCCTGTGTGACGTCACCCTGCTATATATCAAAATCAGGGTTGGGCAAGATACTCAAAAAAAAGTATCATGATACATGATACATGATACATACATTTTGTGTATCAAGATACAAGATACATTGTGAATGTAGAAAAGATACAAGATACAAGATACATGTATCTTTGATACATCAAAGATACATGATACTTTTATATTTCCAATCAAATTTTATTAATTATTAAACGTAAAACGTCTATACACAATTCACTATACCGTCTATACATAATAAATACATAATATTATTATTATACCTACATAATAATAGTATTTATAAATACTTATAAAGTCATAATTATATCAAATAATATAATAAGTCAATAGGTACACTGTACACATTATAATATAATAAGTCAATAGGTACACATTATACATTTATAACTAATACATCCCATTTATAATATAAATACACCAAAATTAAGAAAGTGCATAACAATTACATCTTAATTTATACTTATATATAGTTGCTTTATGTGTATAATAAAATTGGTTATGGTCTATGGACTTATGGTCAAAAATAAATAAATTAATTAAATTTTTTATGGTCTTATGGACTTAATAGTTAATAGTTATGCAAGTTATGGTTAGTTTAAATTAAATGTTTTTTTTATAAATAAAATCTTGGTTACCTTAATTTTTCAAACATGTGGTCGGATAGATTAGATCTACTTGGTGAGTGCACAAAACTAGCAAATGAAAATAAACGCTCAACGGGAGCAGATGAACATAGACTTGTGTTATATTTTATAAATAGTTTTTTTATTGATGGATAATTATTTAAACAGTTTAATGATTTGTTATTGTCGTTAAAATAAGTTATTAATTCAAGTTCATTCTGTGATTGCTGTTTATTTTCAACCTGAGGAGAAAATATAAAAAAACCGTCTTCAGAATCTCTACTGGATTCATGGTTACTACATTCATTAATAATTTGTTCTGTAGCATTTATACACAAATTCTGTATTATTTTTTTTTCGTGATCACTAATGTAATCTGGAATCCACCTTAGTTTAAAATTTGGATGGAAACATGTTGCTAGAATAGCTTCATTAATTTCAGGAGATAGTTCAAAAAATAAATTAAACCTTTTTGTAAGAGAGCTAATCAAAGGTGTAATTAAAAAAGCGCAATATTTAAAATTGTTTTCTTTTAAATTTTCTAATCGGGAATTATTTTTACAATAATAGTATCTTGTATCTTTTGGCAAAAAAAGATACATGATACTAGTATAAAATGTATCAAGATACATGATACTTGATACTGTAAAATTATGTATCATGATACAAGATACAAGATACAATTGTATCTTTGATACGTATCTTTGATACATGTATCTTTGATACTGCCCAACCCTGATCAAAATTAATTTCTCGATTTAAATTATTAAAATATTAAATAATTAATTAATTAGTTAATACACAATTAATTAGCCAACGGTGGACTCATCACTGATATTATTTACACACTACTAATATTGAACTTTTTAATGGTCACAAAACAAGTTATGGTGGTAAAATTTCATTACAAATCCTTAAGAAATTTAAAAAAAAAAATTTATACTTGGAGTACTAGCGTAACATTGTTAAATCTATGAGTTCAATTTATACATATATACTGGAACCAATTTAAAAGAATAACGACAACAATTAAATATTTAAAATAAAGAACCGCTAGGTACTCACATTTTGGCCTCATATCATTTGCTCATCGTCTGTTTACCTGCACCGAATTATCGTACATCATATGCGCATCAAAATTCTGAACAATAGAAACGTATAATAATAATTGTACACATATATAATATTATATAGATGATGAATAATTTAATATATATTGGCACAAGTTTTTGTTCAATAAGCATTTAAAGTTCAAATGTTGACAAAATTTATCAAAAGCTCAAAAATTTGCAAATTATTTTGTAGTAAAAAATTTAATACCCAGTTCAATTGGGCACATAACATGGTCATAGTTATCATAAAAAAATATACATATAACATATATGTAGTTTGAGTAAAAATGAATTCAACTAAATTGTGTTTAGTTCATTTAGGATTGAATTTTATGACTCAAGTTAGAAAACAACGCGCTTTTGGGTATACACCTTTTTTTTCAGTTCTATTATTAAATAATATTGATGAGCAAATGATGTACAACCTTTTAAACAATCGATGCGCAAACGATGTATAACCCAAAAATCAAACGATGCGCAACTGTCTTACAAAAAAGGTCAAAAATAACAATAGTGATAAGCAAACGACAACAGGCGTCACAATTTATACTACTGAATTTAATCAAAATATCTAATGGGGTATAGAAATCATGAATTAAAAGATTTCTGAAATGTAAATCATAGTAGAATAAGACTGTTACCTATTCTATGTAATAACAAAATATTTATTATATGTATTTATTAGAGGAAAATCCTTACAAAAATGTTTTAACATCATACGAATTAGGTAAGAAAATTATAATAGATTATATTTATAACTTAAATTGATTAAATCATATTAATAAAGTTTTAATTATTTATTATCAATAAAATTAAGAATTTGTAGAAAATAAATAGTTTAAAAAGTATTAGATTGTTAAAAAATGCGAAGAAACATAAAGAAAAGATTTATTTAACAAATAAAATCAAAATCAATTCCTTTAAATTTAATTATTTATTTTAAAAAATATGTGTACAATATACTGCATACTATTGCTATGTAGGTATTTTAGTAAATTCTGTTAATGGTATTGTCTACTGACGCAGACTATCTAGAATAAAATGCAATTTAAACGTTCTTCAATATCTTCATTATTCGAATTTTTAAACTTGATATTGCTGCGTAAACTAACGATTATCATAAAAACAATTTTATTGAAGCATATAGCAATAAATGCTTATAGGTAAATTACAAAATAATCTAAAAATTGTTTCCAAATTATAAGTAGATAGTTTATACTATATAGGTAGGTAGGTACTTATATTTTGACGGGGGTTTAATACTATAGTTTGGTCATTCGTAAACTTGATTAGATCTTTTATGGGTCAACGAACTATCAATTTAATAAATACTGAAATTTACTGAAAAAAACTACGATTCTTTTGATTTAATAAGGTATCAAAAAAAAAAAAAATAAATAAATAAAAATGAGTTGTTTAATAAATCATAGGATTCAGGTAATGTTAGAGATGATATATTATATTAATAATTATTAAAACTTTAATATTTTTTTTTTAGCTAATTTGATCGATTCTGAGAAAGGTAAAAACAAAGTATATACTGAAATACTGAATTATATTTTAGAATAAAGTGACTATATTTAAGTGTACCACGCGTGTCTATCTATTTGGAGTCTTATGCTGCGATTGGGTTAAATATTGATTAAAAAATCACTGCTGATTTGATTACCTAACGTCGAATGAATAAAATTTCAACTTACTTCAACGACTGCGTCATTTGAGAGTTGAATTTGCCTCCATCTTAGATTTGTCAGTGCTGATTCAATTCTTAACTATAAAAATTGAACATTATATTATACATTTTTAACCATAAAATAATTTGCAAATTTTATGGTGTGAAAAAATTCAAATAATATTATAAACAGTTGATAAGAATTTCATGCATCTCCAGTAATTTTTTTTAGAGTTACACCTTAAACTAAAATCATTTTTGTCGAAAACCGATTTTGAGTAAAAATTGCAGTTTTAAATTTTTTTTTTTTTTTGTTTTTCCCTCTGCTTTTGTAAACTACTAGGAATTTTCAATTTTGCCTTCTCGATTCTATCAACTAAGTTAATTTCCTCATCAGACACTTGAACTTTAAAATCTAAACATTATTTCAGCTACTTATTGTGTACACAGGCACAAAAATATTTTTAAAAAAAACACACTTCGCTCCGCTCAGAATTTACTATGTAGTTCTTAACAGACATTTAATATCTTTTTTATAATCATATATTTTTGTTATAGACAAAGGCGGTAAATCTTTAAACCTGTATATGGATGGTAAATTATTTTTGGAAAATTTTCTCACTATCGCTTATTGTACTTTACATGATGGTACTGCACTTAATACTATATCTTTTATAATAGAAACAGTTAAATTGAATCATAATATAGCAAAAAAAGATTATATTACAAAATTATTTTCGAGTGTTTTTAAATCACTTGTATTTTGTGAGTAGATCCATGAACATTTCTATTTTAAAATCTGTGACGTTTCGTCCCTTTTAGGGGCTTACAGCGCTCTATCTAGAAAAGTGGAACATATGGCTAGAGAACAAAATCAAGTCGGTACATTGTTGACACTTTGACCAGCCTCATAGGTTTTCATACCTTTTTAACAACATGATTAAGCTTAAAATATTTTATGTAACGTTGCCAAAATAGTAGTAACAAGTAGTTGACGCACTTCACGAATTAATTTAATCTTTTTGTCCACATGACGACGGTTTTATATTTCCTGACTACATTTATTCTACTTAACTTTATTGAAAATCACTGCCAATTTCTGATAAGTATTTGGGCTGAATTTATTTCAAAATTTAATTTTGTAGAACGATCAATGCAGCTAAAAGCTTTCATTGCACGTAGAATTATCAGCATTTAAAATTCAAATTACAAAAGTATTAGCATGAAAATACGTCATACGCCTATTATTACTGGCACTAAATATCGGACAAAAAAAATGTTTAATTCCTGTGTAGGGTCTGGTACATTAAATGTCCATACAGGTCGCTTAGTATTAAAAACAAATAATCAGTAAAACTATTAGAATCTGAGATAGGATAGTTTCACTGATAAAAGTAAATACACTGTTTATTTATTTATTTACTATAAGAATAAACGCCCAAGGGACTTTTACAAAATAGTAGATAAAATGGTTACCGGTATTTTTCCCGAATCAAAATTCCCGAATGAACTTTTTCCCGAATGGTATTTTGCCCGAAAATCCGAAAACCCGAAACCTTTTTTCCCGAACGCCTTTTTCCCGAATCGAAATTCCCGAATGAACTTTTTCCCGTATGGTATTTTTTCCGAAAGTCAGTATACCCTAAATCTTTTTTCCCGAACACTTTTTACCCGAATCGAATAATAATATTATAATTTATAATAAGTAAGTATAAAGCGGCCAATCGCCTATGTTGTATAATAAAAATAAATACATAATATAAAAAATAAAAGTAATAATAATTTAAAACATATAGTGATAGCGTGATAATTAAATATTTAAAAATCGATCATATTTTATTATGCTATATTAATTAAATTTTGAAATTTTTTATTTCGGGAACAATAACCGTCGGGAAAAACGCGTTCGGGAAAAAAGGTTTCGGGTTTTTGGATTTTCGGGCAAAATACCATTCGGGAAAAAGTTCATTCGGGAATTTCGATTCGGGAAAAACGGCGGGTACCAGATAAAATAGGTAACTAAAATATAAGAAGATAATAGTAAATAAATAGTGTATAATATTATTATACAATAATTGTGCCTCAATTTTTTTTTCATTTTAGATAGTGTAAAATGCTACTTCAACGTTCATGCAAAACAACTCAAGGAAAATATTAATAGTAAATACAATAGTGAACACTAATTAAAATACCTAATTAATAATAATATATTTTAGATATTCATTCAAATCATAATAAAAAAAAAAAAATCAATTAATAGGTAGTAGGAACAACTGTGTGCAAGAATTTAAGTATTCTTACACGCAGTTTTCTTGCAAAAGTCACTAAATTGTCAAATGTTCCGTGAATAGACTCACGACGATTTACACAGGGTAATTAATAATACATAGGTAGATAAGTGTTATAAATAAAGGTATTGAAAATAAAGAACCGCTACTTACATATTATAAAATCTGATGTTAAACGAAATGACTAATTGAGTATAGAAATCATAAATTGTATTGGAAAAAGACGAATACCTACTTAATTCTTATTTGTTTATATTTTAAATTTTATCCTAATTTTAACCGAAAATATCTATAAAAATAACCAGTGGCGGTTCTAGAGTATGGGCAGGGTGAGTAGCTGCTCATACCAAAATTACTGGAGCAGCTTATTGGGGAAAGGGGAGGAAATGAGGAAAATTATTCGCAGTTAAAACCTAATAATAAATCTACTGTTGCCCATACCAAAATGTAATCCTAGAACCGCGCCTGAAAATAATTATATATTTTTTTAGATTTTTTTGGTTACAGTATAAATCACTTATGAGAAATCT